GTTGCATTTAGTAGGCCTATTCTGGTCTAAATAAGCTTTTTGCATCTTAGGTGTTTACACACACAAATTAAGCAGTTTATACGTACATTTAATGTTACTTTGAAATTACTTTTGATGCAATAAATAATCCTAAATAGTTGAAAGTGTTAACATATTCTTGAAATGTAGTTATTTTATAACTATGAAATTTATTACTAAACAAAGTGAATCATTATGAATTTGCCAAGAAATAATCCACTTTACCACTGTAAAGCAATGCCCCACACTCACTAGAACGGTAGAACCTGGACTGTATGATATGTTATTTATGTAAAATAGAGAAAATAAGCAAGATGCGCAGTCTCATGCAGCCTTAGTGAAATATAGCGCGTGACAGCAATGAACTAAAAATAAAACCACCCTTGAAATGCTGGCGATCTTAATTTTTTCAGCTTACACTGACTGAGAATAATGTTGCACTATTTTATTAACAAATAATTAGAATGTTTTTTTTTCCTTCAACACATTCATCATTACTTTTGCCTGTGCAAGTTTCTTGCGCGCGCTTGAGCGCGAAGGCATCTATTTTCAGGTGCAAGATGCCACTTTGGGTGGCACCAGCACACTCTGCCACACCTGTGGCTATGTCCCTGCTACAATAATAATAACAACAACAACGACAAAATATTAACAAAAAATAATAATAATAAGACAGGCCTACTTTGACGTTGCAATAAAAAAGTATTAATTATCAAATAAATATTTACAATAGGCAAAAGGCATATATTAAATTAAAATAGGAGAAAATCCAATAGAAACAAATGGTACCATTTATTATAGCCCCATGCAGGGTCCAATGTGTTCTTACAACCATTGAATAACTAAGTAAATAATAATAACAATACTAATAATAATAGGCCTAATAATAATAATAATAATAATAATAATAATAAATTATTATTTTATACAGAGTAGGCTATTATTTAGGCCTACAATAGCTCTGAAACAATCATGTAAACCAGGTGCTCCTCGGAAATGGCTTTCTTTGCTCTGCATCAGGTGCACAGCAGCAAGAAGCTTGGCAGTGAACTATGACCTTATTTTAATGACAAATGTCTAAGAATACTGCTTTACGTTTTTATTTAATTTATACATACGCAATGAATGTAAGCCTGCTAACTGTGTGTGGTTCAAATGATAGAATATGTAAACTTTGTTTATATATATAATTAAATAATAATAATTAAAAGCCTGCGTGTAAGGCTTTTATTTTGAGGGTGACGTCACGAGCGCAGATTTGGTTGACCAATTAGAGGAAAGTGGGCGTTTCAGTACCGCCTACATGTGTAAAATGAATTTTAAAGTCGTTTATCCGTTTTCCTACCCTAAACCAAAAAACGAAAATCCAGCCAAAATCTCGTTTTTTCGTTTTCTCGTGAGCAAAAGAAAAACGGAAAAACGGCCGTTTTCTCCATTTCCTTTATTCCGTTTGAAAATGGAAAACAAATGAACAAAATGTACACGGACCACGCTTGTCCCAGAGGTTGTTTTTATTCAGTTTTCCTGAGAATATGCCGGTATTCGTGACAACTAAAGTATATGGTGTGGTTTTTTTCTGGAACTGCCCAGAGGGAAGCATCTGCTGTTGCTCTGACTTCAGTAACGGGAAGAAGCAGATGGAAATTGTCATTCATTTCAATACATAACCTTGACTTTTGCTTGCGTATTTGAGCTTGGTTCAGTTTTTGAGGTCAGGTGACAACTTCCATCCAACGTAGTTCTCTCTGCTCATCTTTTCCATTATCGCCAGACAGCTCCATCTGTCCTACTCTGTAAAAATATCCCAACATTAGTCTCTCAAATCTTGTGGTCAGTGTAGTCCCTGAAAAAATCTCTCATTATAATGAGATTAAGCTGAAACTTACAGTTTTTAAAATTTGAAAGCTAAAATTTTTTAAGTATATCCTAACTTCTTAAGCAGAAGCTGCATATAGATGCTTGAGGAAAGTTAGACTTTGAATGTGATCAGCTTGCTGATGGCTTTAATTTGTGAGTGAACTGTTTTTTATTAGCAGAGTTTGTTGGCTTTTTGGCAAGTACATACACTGCAGTGTCCATTGTTTGGCCTTTTAGTCCTGACATACATTGCTGTTTTTTTTTTTAACACACTGGGGGAAAGATTGCATTATTTTCATGCAGATGTTCAAAATCGACAATAGCTCAGCATGTGGTCAAAGTCTAGAGGGCAACAGAAAGAGGTTAGATAAACTTTTCATATCAGAATTGAACATTGACCCACTTGGACAGTAAAAAATGTTGTGACAATCTGTCGCACATCAGAAGTCCCTCGCTAGGAGAGTTTAATATAAAGCCCAGTTAATCAAACATCTTCAAGGTGAGGGATATAACAGACATGATTATCCAACACTAGATATTCCAGTCTCGGTAATTACTGTTTGTATTGTGTAGCTATTGAAGAGGTTGTCATTTTTCCCTGTCTGGGCCTTAATCTCCATAGACTGCTGCTCTGGTAGTTGTCAGCAAAATCCTTTTACAAGTGGAATGTTTAGGCTGGTGTGAAATGTTCAGGCTCAGTGGTTTGTCAGTGCTTGTGAGTGTGTCAAATAGACTGAGATGGCCAAACAAGTAAAAAAAAAATATATATATATATAAATATATATATAAATTCTAGGCTATTTTTTATTGTACAATATATATGGCACCAAAATAAATCATGATAAACGATATTATTGTAATTTTAAGACCATTTTATTCCACTCATTATATAATGCCAGCATGACAACAATATAATATTATCACAATGCAAGAACACTCCAAAGAACACGTAATATTTTATTCTTAAGAATGTTTCATTTAATTATAGTCCTTTTAACAATTTAATAGTTAGGCATTAGAATCAGATTGTGAAAAGGCATATCCTAAATAAATAGTAATAATGATAATAAAATAACATTAAATATTAACAAAGAGGTGCAAAGTAAAAAGTAACAGAAGCTGCAATACTGTATCTGGTGCCAGCTCTATTTTCAGTTGTCAGACACCCACATGAAAAATATACTATGGTAATTTATAGTAAATACTATAGTGTTTTTAACCATACTGACACTGACACCTCCGATATAGTTGCACAATCGAAAACAACCAGGGCTGCACAATTAATTGCTTCAGCATCGATATTGTAAGTGTGATTTTTCAATGGTCACGTTGCAGTTACACGTGTAAGATTTTTAATTGTGTGTGTTTTCAAGACGTGACAGTGAGATTTTAGGCTTATTTAGACCACAAAGTTGAAGATTGATTGTCTTTAATCATTTAAATAATGAAGGCTATATGGTGTTATTTTACATTTAGTTTGTTCCTCAATACTGTTAGACTCCACAGAAAACCATAAAGCTATATTTTCATTTGTAGATTTGTTTCATTGACTACGTTTACATGGACATCAGTAATCAAATTATTTGGCTTAATTTGAATTAGACAATAATATGAATAAGGTGTTAATGTTCTTTTCATGATCCTTTTTAACATGTTATAGCACATCACTTGAATAACATCATTGCGTCATGTTTTCTCTGGAGTGTTATGTAATTTTGGGTGGTTTTTAATTTGTCGACTTTAACTGCAGTTTGGCACTTTCACTTTCATTCAGAAACATTTCATTCATGCCCCCCTTGACAAACAAGATGTTGGATGCGAGTATGAACTGCTGGAAGAGTGTTGTTTTAATTGCAATTTGATACCGCACACTGTATGGGCAAAAGATGTATGTAGGTCTAGAGAATAGTGTCAAACAGCTGTGCGTGTATGGAATCTGACTACAAAAAAGGTCAATGTCCAACATGATGGTAATAGTTTGATTGCAGTGTTTACATGTCTGTACTGCACTTGAATAATGTGAATAAAATCAGCATACTCCACATGTCTTAATCTGATTTCTGTTTAGTTTGATTATGACATTAATCTGATTAAATGAATAAAACAAATCTCTGTTTACATGGTAAACTCTTAATCAGAGTATTGGCTTAATCACATTAAAATCGGATTATTGGTTTGATTTCCATGTAAACATACTTATTGTTTTTTATTAAACACTTTCATTGAAAAATTAAAACAATGGGAAGCCTCAAAAATCAGATAATACCACAGCAAATTCAGATACTGCGTTTCTCTGCAGGACCATTCTAAACAAACATGTTTATTGTTGTATAAATAGCTGAGTAAGAATGAGAACAATGCTTTGTTTACCAGGATGAGGGTGTTGCTTCCATCAGACAGATGGAGCATATTGTTTATTTCCTGTATTAGACAAAGACGTCATTATAATCAAATATATTATCAACGATCCTAGAAATGACAACAGGATGTTTTCTAATGCAATCCACAGATAATAGGATGCTGACTAAACTCACCTTGTGAGCAGCTGTCAAAAGCACACCCACAGACTCCCTCATTTACTAGAATTTACAAACTACCTACAGATTGTTCGTGTTTGACGCAGAATAATTTGATAGCACGTTTCACAAATATTTTAAAGTTTAAGCTTATCTACAAAATTGCTATATAAAGTAAGCAAAGGTTTGTCAACAGATTCCAATACGATGAAATATTATTGATGAATTATTATGTGTACTGCTGGATGTGATGCATGTGTATTCCAATGACAACATGAGACCTATTTAAAATGAAAATGGCTTAAATAGACCATTTCAATGTGTTGATGTCATTGATCCATGGACATTTTTTTTCTTGATTATCCAACTATTTCATAACTGTAACAAGGGGCATTTCAATCATAACTTGATGTTAAAGCAGCTATCATAACATTATTTATCAAAATGTGGCTCTTTCTGGATTCTTGGAAAAGAAAATACAAAATGTAAAACAGGAAATATGTTGGGACCACTGTTTTTGTTTACATCCCCTTAAAAATGTTCTATATGAAAAAACAATCTAGATAGGATTTCTTAAATTGCTAAGCACGTTTTTTCTTTTATTCACAGAGGATGTGAAAGTGGTCATCATACAGGGAGATATAACAAAATATGAGGATGTACGCAATGCATTCCTGGGAGCAGACCTGGTTTTCCATGCCGCAAGTTTGGTTGATGTGTGGTATAAAATTCCAGAGAAGGTCATCTTTGCTGTCAATGTACAAGGTAAGTGAATAATAAGTTAAAAGGAAGATAAAAGAAGACTGATAGCAATGCTTTTGTATCAGTAATGAAAGTGTTTTGCTGTTTGTAAGGGTTTACAATCACAGGTATTGAATGTACAGGTGGAGAGTACTATAGAAAACCGAATTTTCCCTGCAACTACTCACTAAGGCTGCATTCATTTGATCAAAATACAGTAAATCAGTGTTCTTAAAGTCAATACAGTAACACTTTATTTTGATGGTCCACTTGAGTATTAGTAGACAGTCTGCTTTCACTAACTCTAACCCTAACCCAACAGGTTACTAATAATCTAATAAGAATTAGTTGGCATGTAGATGCAATGTTACTTAAAATCAACAAGCGGACCATCAAATTAAAGTGAGACCCTCTATTCCTGCTGGACCGCAGCTCTGCAGATTTTAGCTCTAGACACCTCCAACTCACACCTGCCTAATAGTATCTTGTAGTGTTAATTATTTAGATTTTTTTGTTTGTACAATTAGGGTTGTAGCAGAGCAAAGCTGTGGCCCTCCAGGAATTGAATTTGAGAGCCATGTAGTGAATAGTGTGAATTTGTATGATTAAGATTTCAAGTTATTTATTCTTGTGTTGGCAGTGAATTGAGTCCACCTGTCTTAAGTGTTACCCTTCACAAATCACTCAATAATATGATTTAGAAATGTCTTGTTTTATTAGTAATAATGACTTATGTGCTTGTTTTTATTCTGTTATTTATTATTTGCCTTCAAAAATCGAAATTAATTATTTGAAGTAGTTTCTTATTGTACAAATCTACACTTTTGTGTTCTTTTTTAGCATCCTTGTTAAACAAACGTATTTATTTCTCTCAACAAAGGGAAGAAAACAAGCAGCTGTGTTAGTGGGTGTTGTGTGGGTGCTTTTGCTTTCTGCCACAGTTTTTCTTTGCCGCCATTTCCAGTAACCTTCAAGCTTTACTAGTTAGGTTGGTCCAGAAATGCATAATTTACTCACAAGCAAAGCAAGAATTTTACTGCACATAATGAGGTTTGGTTTTTTTCAACCGCAACTGCTGTTTTACAGTAAACACGTCTGCCAGTCCGGATGGATCATTGTCTTTGAGAATTACATTTGCTTTAATGTGTAATGCAATCATTTAACTTAGGCCTGCACAATATCAAGGTCAAGGTCAAGGTAAAATTTGTCTCCCGTAGGAGAAATTTGTTTTAGAAAAAAGGTTCTGCTGTACATCGACACCAACAAGACAACATGTAACATACATACACATTAAAATCTAATCCTAAAAGACCTCCTAATATAAATATGATTCCATAAAATCAGTAATTTTAATAAAATTTTTATAAAAAAATAAAAAATAAAGTACCATATGCCCCACTGCCCTCTGTTGTGCAAACCAATCCTGTTATCTTAGTCTTTGACCATCCTTCCTTGCTTGCTCGTTGATCAACTTAATTGAAAAAGGAACAAAAGAATGTTTATATCTATTATGCTTGCACAACGGGACCCTATATCTTCTGCCAGAATTCATCAGCTCATATTCCACAGACAGCACATGTGAAGAATCAGATAAAATCTTGTTGGCTTGTTGGATTGTGCACAACTCAAAGATGTCTTTTAGTGAACCAAGTGTCTTAATTCCCATGATTTTTCCTGCCACTCTCATCAGGTTATTTACTTGGGTTTTCATTTTTACTGTCAGATTCCCAAACCAAACAATAATCCCATATCTTAAAATAGACTCTATTGTTGCTTTATAAAAAGTCATTATTATGCTGCTACTCACTCCAAATAATTTAGTCTGTGTAAAAAGTGTAATCGCTGATGAATTCTTGTACAAAGACTTGACACCTGAGAGTGCCAATTAAGTTCACTATCAATGTTCACTCCTAAATATTTATATGAATCAACCTGCTTAATGTCTTTATCATAACCACAATAGAGCTCCTATCGCTTACTGACCTGGGGTCTATGATGACCTCCTCCGTTTTCTTAACATAAATTTCCAAATTGTGGTCATCAAACCAGCTGACAAACCATTCTACAGCCGCTCTGTATTCCATGATGCTGGCATCCTTTGTGAAAAGGTGCAATAGTACAGTGTCATCGGAAAATTTAAGAATATATTGGTTTGTCTGCTGCCTAACGCAGTCGTTTGTATAGAGGGTGAACAGAAAGGGTGAACTTACACACCCTTGTGGCGCCCCTGTACTACTTGTTGCTACATCAGATAACCCTGAATTAAATTTTACCTGCTGTGTCCTGTCTGTTAAATAAGAATAAAACCATTTAATAACAAAAGGGTTCACTTGCATTTTTACCAGCTTTTTCAAAAGTTTATGTGGTTGAATTGAATTAAATGCTGAACTAAAATCGATAAAAAGTAACCTAGCATAAGCAACTGGGCTCTCTAGATGTTTTAAAACAAGATGTGTTAATGTGGAAATTGCATCAATAGTGCCACGGTTACTTTTGTATGCAAATTGATACTGGTCTAAGTACGGCTCAACTTCCTTGCGCAATTCTTTTATTACAATCTTCTCAAATGATTTCATGACATTTGATGTTAGGGCTACTGGCCTATAATCATTATTGTCTTGTGGACAAGGCTTTTTTGGGGATTGGAATTATCACAGATTTTTTCCAAAGCTTTGGTACTGTATGTGTATCCACTGAGAGTTGAAACAGGCGATGCCAGGCTGGTGTAAGCTCCTCAGCAAATGTTTTTAGAAGAAAGCATGTAATACCATCAGTTCCCATTGCCTTACTAGAACATAAAGATTTAAAAACCTTAGTCACGTCTCCTTGATGTATTAACCTCCTTTTTTCAGCCATGTTGCAATTTACTTCCCCTAAAATTTCTTCACATTTTTTAAAATTATCTGTCTCAAATCTCATATAGAAATCATTCAATTCATTTGCCTTAACAGATTCGTTACAGGCGAATAATGCCTTTCTTTTTGGTGTCATATTTGTCATTCTCCGAATTGAGTTCCATAATTCTTTTGTATTGGACTTTAACAAATGTTGTTCAGTCTGTTCTTTATATTTTATCCTTGCAGTCCTTAGTTCCCGATTAAGGTCTTTATGTGCTGCTCTAAGCCCCACGGTATCACCTGCCCTAAAGGCCAATTTCTTCCTTTTAATACAGCTTTTAATTCCCCCTGTTATGTATGGTTTGCTGTTCGGATAACACTTGATGGTTCTCTGTGGAATGATAGAATCCACACAGAAAGAAATATATGCTGTGATAGTTTCTGTAACAGTATCTATATTTGCATCCTGATAAAACATGTCCCAGTCTGTGCAGAGGAAACATCCCTTTAGCTCCTCAATACTTTCATTTGACCATGTCTTCATGACCTTAATCGTTGGTTTACTTGTTTTGAACACAGACCGATAAGTAGGAAGGAGATGGATAACGTTATGGTCCGAGTTACCAAGGGGGGGGGTCTGGCTTTGGCAACATAAGCATCCTTAATATTGCCATAACACTTGTCAAGAATATTCTTTTTCCTTGTTCCACACTTAACATATTGAAAAAAACCTGGTAAGGATTTCTCCAGTCCACACTGATTAAAATCACCAATAATCAAAAAGGGTGCATCAGGTTTGTTTTGTAAGTGGTTATGAACACAGTCAGCTATTTGGTTTGCAGCTCTGATAGCATTCCCACTAGGTGGGATATAAACTGCACAAATAAATATGTTAGTAAATTCCCTTGGCAAATAGAACGGACGTAATGTGACGCACAATAGTTCCAGGTCAGGGTTGCAGATGCTTTCTCTTACCGCAAAATTTCGACACCAACGATCGTTGATATAGACACAGACCCCTCCCCCTCTTGTCTTACCGGAGTTCTCGTCTCTGTCCAAGCGAATATGGGAAAAACCGTCGACTTGTTATATGGTTTTAGCATTGATATCGTAATGTACGCATTCGTAATAGTCACATCGTAAACATATGTAATGTCCAGTCTGTATTATAGTTGACCAGGAGCCACAGAATTGTATTTAATCACTGTATTTATGGAAATTATATGATTTATGCTAAAAAAACATTTTTGTCCTGCTATTAGGCCAAATATCTACATTTCAAAGCAAAAACTAGATTATTTCATGTACCCCACTGGCAGATAATTTCTTTAAAACAAGCAAAAACTATTAATTTTCACTTGGTTCTTCTGATGGTTAAAACTAAGCATTGTTTTACCTGGTCTAAGATTTTTTTTTTTGATATTTGGACTAGAAAAGAGACCAAACGAATTGAGAGAAGCTGTTTTTTGCATTGTGATTATTCAACCTCTGTACCCAAACTGTATTCTTATTGTAATATTTATAGCAGAAAAATTAAATATTGCAATATCTGTTTTTTTTCAATACCCATCAGCCCTAATTTAATTATACATCTACATTTAATTTAATACAAAAAATCAGAAAGGGAAGTGCACTCAGCATCTGCACGTCTGCATTCTCACAGATGTTTTGATGTCTTCAAATTGACCTTGAAATGCTTGTGGTTTTGCTAGGGGCACTTTTTTAATTTTACCGTACTCTCTGTGGAAGACTCCGCTGCTTAAGTGTTGCTAACATCTTTAACCATTAAATGCTGAAATCACTGAAAATACTCATTGGAAAACCTTAGCAGTTTTACAAATTATTACAAGCCTTTTATGACTTAAAGAACTTAAGAAATCAATTTAAAATGTTTTTTTTTTTTTTTTTGCTACCACATATTTTTTAAAGAACAAACAATTCGTGTTCTCTGTTTTGAAAGCATTTTTCTCATGGCTCCTTTGTAGGTTCAGTAATTTCAACTTTATGGCAAATAAAATGTTTCTTTTATTGCATTTAAAGTGAAATAACTGAACATAAACATTTTAGGCTGAGAAAAATTCTCAGTTCAGAAAAACATTTCAAATGTAGCTTTCTTTGCTTTAAATGAGCAAACCTAAATTGTAATCAATGTCAATGAAGTTAACATGTATGGTTCATCGCCTGATCAAGGGTTAAGCCTGACTCAGTACGAGACTGATAGCCATCGACAAACCCAAAGAATTCAGATGAAAACAAAAGCAGGAGTTGATAAATGTACTACCATACTGGAATTTCCCTTTGGTTTGGATCTTGTCCTATCATATCATATTCTTTCGTTTGGCCTGAGCTCTGCACTCCACCTTATTTTCCCAGAAATCACCTCTGTGAATACCACTGAAGCTGAGGAGTTAAAAAAAACAATACTTTACCTTTGTTTTCAGTATGCAATACTTCAGAAAGCATTTGCATGATTTATTGCCTTCTCTTTTAAGCTATCTGATGCTTCAAACTGCATCCATATTTGGAACATCATCAGTTGCGTGTTTAGCGATTGTCATTAAGCAGTTTACACAACACAAACATCTTCTTTTACTGATAATTAACCCCTTATCTGTTTTTTTAATCCTATTGCATTTTCTTACTCCGTGTTTTTCATTATTAGGGACGGAGAATGCTATAAAAGCCTGTGTAGAAATCGGTATTCAGTATTTGGTCTACACAAGCTCCATGGAGGTGGTTGGTCCAAATGTAAAGGGAGATGAATTTGTCAGGTGAGTGGACATGTTTAAAAAAGCTTCTTTGAGAAATGTTAAAATTGTAACAATTGAGAAATGTCTTTACAGAGTGAAAGGTGTTCAAGTTCAAAAGGATGTAGTATATGAGGACATTTCCTAGCCAAAACTTATTTAAATTCTGGGTAACCTTGCTTTGCATTTTGCACACAGTCTATTCCTGAGTATGAGATTTCACATGCTTAAACTATGGATTAATTTGCACGTTTGTGGTGTCAGTGTCATTGATAAGGATTCTTGAGCATGCAACCTGTTTGTATAAAGAATTTAATGTTGTGCTTCCTCTCATATTTTTTTGTAGACTGCCCTGCTGAAAAATCCAGCCTAAACCAGCCTAGGCTGGTTTAGGCTGGATTTTTCAGCAGGGTGCTGTTACGTTTTTATTCTGAATAGACTGTAGCCAGTTAACTCAAATGGAAACATGCAGCAGCTGTGGCCTATTGGATAGTTGAAATTGTGATCTAAAGCTCGCAGATTTGAGTTCTTGCACTGTGAATTCTCTTCCACCCCTCAATACCAATGCTGAGGTCAGTCCCTTGAGCAAGGCTGGGAGTTGCTTTGGATAAAAGCATCTGCTAAATGTAAATGAGTCAAGTGCCATATTAACCCAGAGTTTTGAATTGAATGCTATAAACATCGGCATATAAATACATAAGGTCAATTCTTAACCCAGGGTAAATTGTTGACATTCTGAAATGTATTCAAACTCTAGGTTTACAGTGATTCAGCAATGACAGTTTCGTGTGTGAAAAGCCCTTTTACCCAGGGTTAAGTGCACTGTGAAAAGCCGCAAGGAAAGAATGTCTGGAAGACTATAGGTTTGCACATGTTGAAGGCATTCTATATATGACATAACAGAATCCCACAATCACCTCAGACATTCCATTTTGAAGTGTCTGTCAAATTGAAAATAAAATACAGACCAAAGTCATGGATCTCTGCCACTGACATTGTACCGCTTGTCATCTGATAAATTACACTTGCATGTCTGAAAGCACTTGAATCTTTTGTGTTGTATATCATGCTCTAAAGCGATGATTTCCAAATCCTTCAGCCCTAATGGAATTTTTTTTTGTTTGTTTTGTTTTCTTTCTTTGTTTTATTTATTTTTCTCTACTTGACATGACATTTGCACATTTATTATTAACAAAATAATGCGCAGTTAGTAGGAACTGAAAGAGCAATCTGTTTGGCCAACATAGCTTGAATACTCCAGATGACTGTTTGGCCTAGTAATAAGCCAGACTCAAAGCAAAAATGTGTCTTCAAGTCTTATCAATGACTGGAATGATAGCTTTTGGATGGCCTTTAAGTTGTTTTGCACATGAAAGACTTTTAACTGAAGTCTGGTGAAGAACTCGGAGTAAAAAAGCAGACAGAGCAAAGCCTTTAAATCTTTCCATTACTGCCACGAGCTAGAATCATTAACATTTTCCTTTGAGAGAGATTAAAACACAACCCCCATTTCAAGATATTTTCATTTCTCTCAATATGAAATAGCAACATACACACACCCAATATCTGTCAGCCCTCCTCCCTCTCTCTTTCCTGCCACATTTTAATGAAAATATCCTTGTGGTATGTTTTGATATTTAACATTGTGAAACATCAGTTGCTTGCCATGAGCAATACCCTTTTAAGATCATATTAATAATAATGATTGTTTTGTAGCCATAGGCAAGTATTTACAGAAAAAAATATACACTCCCTAACCCCTTTGGAAATCAGGTGCACTCAGGTCAACTCTAATAGAAGTCTTTGGAAACATTAGATAAGCAAGATATATTTTGATATATCTGGATATAGAGTGAAAAAATAAAATAAATGCATATGTATGTGTTTGGAGAAGTTGCTGACATGACGTCACATTTTCACTGTCACACATGATAAAAATAAATATAGGTAATGTCACCATTTAAAATGCAGTATATGGTCAAACATGTCTTTGTCTTCCACTGACTTTTTTCTATAAAAAAATCTGTGTTATTACATTGTTCACATTATTGAGCCAATTCTTAAAACTGCCCTATGGCAAGACTGTTTCAAGCATACAGTTGAAGTCAGAATTATTAGCCCTCCTGAATTATTAGCTCCCTGTTTATTTTTTATTATTATTGTAAAACGATGGTTTGTTCTGTAGACTATCGAAAAATATATTGCTTAAATGGGCTAATAATTTTGACCTCAATGTTTTTTTAAAGCTGCTTTTATTCTAGCCAAAATAAAACCAATTTCTCCAGAAGAAAAAATATTATCAGACATATTGTGAATATTTCCTTGCTCTGTTAAACATAATTTAGGAAATATTTATAAAAGAAAAAAACAAAACCAAGGGAGGCTAAGAATTCTGACTTTAACTATACTTCAATGCATTCAAGTTATTGCAAAATATGTAGCAATCACTTAAATGCCTGTTATCTATCTTTGCTCTGCTTTTCAATTTATTGTGTTCTTTCTTGACACAGAGGGAATGAGGATACTCCATATAATATATTCCATGAGATGCCCTACCCTAAATCCAAAGCTGCAGCTGAGAAAATTGTGCTGGAAGCCAATGGCACAAAGGTAACACAGGCATCAATTTAGCATGTTCAATCGCTTTGAAGACTCGAAATAATAGTTTATAACACAGAGTATGGCAAATAAAAGTAAACAGCTTTCTCCGTTTTACGCATTTGATAAAGCTGTTTTATGTTATTAATTGGCATATCTAAAGTTAGTCGATTTAAGAAGCTAGTCCAACTTGTCAGCCAAAACATATTTGAGATATATTTATTTATTTAACATAAGTCTCTTGCATCGGGCTTTACATAAATCATATTCAAGCAAATGTAACTTTATTTTGTGGTTGCTGAAAGTCATGCTTCTCATTTACATTGGTCTAGTTGCTATTTTCCAACTATGCTATTTTCCAGTACGGCTCCCTCCCAAACCCTTGGGAAATATGAACATCATGGCACTCATGTTGGAAGACTTAAATCATCATGTATGGTTTTACAGACACGCCTTTGCTCTTGGTGTTTTATTGTGTTATGCCTTGACTGGCATTTCTAAACGCTATAAATCCTAGTGTTCTTTTTTCATAATATTGCTTGTGTTGTTTTTCATCCTGTATTGGAATTGAAATACAATCCATCCAGTTCTCTGCTGGAATAAATTATTCATTTTGTTCTCTCCTTTCCCCTTCTTGCACTGATTAGGTCGAGGGAGGGAACATTCTCTACACATGCTGTCTGCGGCCAACAGGAATCTATGGGGAACAGCATCAGCTGATGAAGGACTTCTATCTGAACAGTGTCCGTAATGGCGGTTGGGTGATGAGAGGAGTTCCTCCTCATACGGAGCATGGACGCGTCTATGCAGGTTAAACATCAGTCTCTTACTTCTCTGTGTGATGATTCTGACTAACCTTCATCAACGTAAAACACACTAACTGTGGGAAGAAAGAAATGAGGAGAAATGGCTTCAGAGGTTTAAAAATGAATGTTGATTAGACATCATTTGGTACTCTAAATAATCTGATGAGCTGAGCTAATTTGTCTGTCACAGGACAGAAATCATAGTCTATGCCCCTCCTTCCATCATACCAGAAAATCTACTTCGCACACCTGCACCTTTCTGGATCATAAGCTTTCTTCATAAATCATACTTAGCCAGTCAGTTTATAGTGAATGCCCAGTCTATTGTCAATAAAATCGACAAGTTGAGGCTGGGGATCCCCTTGAAGAGATTAAGCAGTTTTGCTTCAGCTCTGCTTCCAGAGATGTTGAAGTATAGCCAACCCATACATTATTATTAATCAAAGTAGACCTGTGTCCGACTCCAAATGTGAACTCTATTGATGTGCTCACAGGGATGCTGAATTATCCATCACTCTTAATGATCACTATAACCTTTTAAAATCCAAAAACGTTTAATAGTTATCGGTTCCAGTTGGATCAAACATTGACTCATAGGTGTTCCGATCTAGAAAGAAAATGTGTTACTGTGCATTGTTGGCGCGTTGCTATTTTGATGAACTAAATTAGACTGCACAATAGACCAACTGAAAATAGGTCTAAAGTCCAGCACAGAGCATGTTAGTTGTGCGCCCTTAACACGTACACGTTGCTTAAAACACACAGGATGTGCAGCAAAACACAATTATCTTTACAAATGAAAAAAAAAAAACTAAATGATTAAAATGTTACAAAAATACTACTTTCTACATAAATATAAAAACCACTGCCTCCATGCCTTCTTCTTGGGGGATTTTTTCAGTTTATTCATAATAGCTTACTTTTGCATAATGTTATTATTATTAGCAGTATTATTTATTACATTCATATTTATGTTTGTTTTATTAAAAACAAGCTTAGATTTGCCCACCTGTCAGGTTTTGGACCATATGGGCATAGGACCTGTGTTTGGATTATTGCTCATTTATCCGTTTGCTGGTAATTAGAACTGAATTTAGAAATAGTCTTGAAACAAATCTTTGCACTTAACGAACAAAATGAATTCTGTAGGCTAATGGATGTCTGTACGTACAACACCATTTCCTTATCCACAAAAGAAAGAAAGTGATTCTTTCGTTAGTTATCCTTGCTGCAGATGGTCTGTTAAACTGTTTAAGCATTTAGTTTTTCCCGTTTTTCCACTTACAAAGTCCGCCATGTAAATAGCAAATGCACCATGATGTGACGCAACTGACTCTTAAAGGGAATGGGAGATGAGACTCTGATTGGTTTATTCTCAAAACACACCTGTAACTCATTAAGAGAATGAGCACAACCCTGTTAGACCATGCGCCGAAGAGCAGAGCGTATTTTTCCGTCCTTAAAATAGCAAAAGGTGAATTCGTACACACCCTAATGCTTTTGCGTCCTGTGCTTTAGACTTTGCACCTAGATCAATAAAATAGAGCCATATGTCTCTCCCTCCATCAAATTGAACATGGAAATTGCGCATAGCTACATGCTGAAACCATCAATCTAGTCATTCTGTATAGATTAGTGGCTGAAACCCTTTCTTTTCCCTCTCTACACATTCAACTGCAAACCCCCTTACAAAATGAACACCAAAGTTTGCAGATGAAGACCATTGTTGTAGGACATACAATTAGAAATTAGGCATCAAAGAGAGAAGTACAAATTTTCGAGATTTGGTTACGATCCTGGATTTCAGAAAGCTGAAGTCCTTGAATTGCATTGAGCATATTCAAATACAGAGCTCAGCATAATTGAGTACGACCCATTTTGAAAATGAATATTTTCCTCCATTTCTCTGTGAATTTAGGCAATGTATTTTGGTCCATACAGATTTATTAAACGGATATATTTATTAAAATAATATTTTAGTCACCAAACATATTTAGAAATTAAAAGATAATACAATTTTTTTAAATTTACAACCTACAAAATTTCAACTAAATTTTTTATAAATTTTTTTTTGCTTCGCTTTTTTTTTTTTTTTTTTTTTTACATTTATTTATTTCATTTTATTTGTATTTAATATTTTTCTATAACATTATAAATTTGGGTGTGCTAGTTTATGGACCGTTCTTGTAAGTTATGTTATTAGATAAGCTCCAGATTTGGCTTCAGTACTGATTAATCTAATGTATGAGCACAAATATAATATTGTATAGCTTCCTATTAAAATATAAACCTAAAAGAGAAATTTGTGAGGGGTGTACTATATATATATATATATATATATATATGCTGAGCACTGTACCTTGGAGTCGTAGTCTGTCTGCATCTCAGTGCTCCCAAAGCTTCACTTCGTAAGGCTTATGAAGACAGCAGGACACCCATAACAGCTGTCCGTGAACTCCTGCTGCCCTGTCATTAAGTCAGTCTCAGGCTCTACCTCAAAAAACAGGAAGTCTCATCGGCACAGCAGAAAAACAGCAGAGAGGATCTCTGACTCTAAACTTCCCAGTCTGGAAGTAATTTACAGGACGTGTTGCACTTTGAAGGCCATAGCCATCATCAGGCACTCCTCACACCTAGATCACAAATAATACAGGATGTTGCATTCTCACACAAAATGACACAAAAGCAGATTTTGGCACTTAAGAATTGAACCAGTAAACACCTCATCTTTTACATGCACCTAGAGACCTTAACTATTCCTTTGTATATTGTTTTTTTTTTTGAGCAGGGTTTCACTGTGCAAACTAAATCAAATACTACACCACCCTATTTCGGCACTTTACTGTCACTTCTTTATTTGTTAATTGTCCTTCAGCTTAGTCCCTTTATTAATTTAGAAGTTGCCACAGCGGAATGAACCACCAACTATCCAGCATATGTTTTACACAGCGGATGCCCTTCCAGCTGCAACCCAGTACTGGGAAACACCCATGCTCTCTCTCTCTCTCTCTCTCACTCATACACTATGGTCAATTGAATTTATTTAATTTACGTATAGAGCATGTCTTTGGACTGTGGGGGAAACCAGAGGACCCGGAGCAAACCCATGCGAACACAGGAAAAACATGCAAACTCAACACAGAAATGACAACTGACCCAGTCAGGGCTCGAACCAGCGGCCTTCTTGCTGTTAGGCAACGGTGCTAACCACTAAGCTACCGCGCCACCTACAGTCATTTTTACTTATTTAATCTCCCTATTTAACTGTCTTCTATGCTATTTGTAGCCTTTAGTGTTTTTATCATTGGTGTAAATTGTCCATGAGCATTAGTGAATATTTTTACCAGTGTTTGATATTCATCAGTATACAACAGGATAGTCATACTCCAGACTGTGGTGATTGCACTCATTACTGTGGATAAATACATTGATAATTTATAAATAATGTTCAAGTTCTTGCACAGACCAATGGTTTCATTTCACAAGATCTCATTGTATTATCAGGAGCCATGAGCATTCATTTTGTTTTACCTTTCTATGTTTTTTTTTTTTTTTTTAACTTTAAAAGCATTGACAGCCTTTGATTTTTGCATTACTTTTTTGCAAGGCCCATAGTTTCACATTAAAAAATCTTTAAAGGTTAATTCACCCAAAGATGAAAATTATTTTATTAATTACTCCTATTCATGTCATTCAATTTCCTCATAAACATTTGTTTATCTTCAGAACACAAATAAAGATATTTTGGATGAAATCCGAGAGCTCCCTCATCCTCCACTGACAGCAGTGGTTCAGAGACAGAGTCCAGAAAAGGAATCAAACCATTGTCAAAATAATGCATGTGTGTCATGCTGCTGACCCTAATGGCATTATATTGTATTGCCTGTAGTAAACGTTAACCCTAAAATATCAGTAAAACAATCAGTTTTACAATTATTGTGGCTAGTGCTGGGCGATTTATCGAAAAATAATCGAAATCGACATTCAAAACCTATAATTTAATCTAATTTTTCCAAGTCAATTTTTTTGTTACTCTCCCTCACGTGACCCCGCTCTGTTAAGACTGATTTATACTTTTGCATTGAACGCACGGGCGTGGTCCACTGCCTTCGTTCGGCCTTGTACCTGCACACCTCTCAACAATGTAACTATACATTGCGCGTTTGCACTTCATTGACAGAGATTGGAAACTGCGCCAAAAAGCCTTGAGATGGCATATTTTTTTCATCCCAATAAAATTAGTATTTAAATTACAATATTTGTTTAGGGAAGATTCAAGAAATGCACTTTTTAAAATATTTTTACCTGATATATAAGAGTTATTTTTTAGAAGAGATACTGATTATTTTTTACTGTTAATATAGAAAACATTAATATTAATTTCCAAAAGTGCAATTATTTATATTCACTTTTTCTTATACAAAAGAGTGACTATTTTAGGCAATGTGTGTTTTAATTTCAGTTGTTCAATGTTGAAGTAAATAATTATAGTTAGTTGCTAGTGTGTTTATCCTTTAATTATTTTAAAATCAAGTAATGCAACAGAGTTAAAATGTTCAATTAATCGAGATCTTGATTTGGGGCAAATCACCCAGCCCTAATTGTCTCAGATTTCATCTTCTCAGTTTTATCTTAGATCTTCGTTTGTGTTACAAAGATGAATGAAGGTCTCCAGGGATTGGAATGACATAAACTAATAACATAAGTTTCGTTTTTGGGTGAACTAACCCTTTAGAAAAATGTGGTCTATATTTTGAAGAAACTATTTAATGTCTTCTTCCTTTAAATGTCTTTTGTGTGTTGTTTGTTTTTTGCATCTAGGTAATGTGGCGTGGATGCATTTACTAGCAGCACGTGCTCTGCAGGAACATCCCAATCGGCTGGGTGGCGAATGTTATTTCTGCTATGATGACTCGCCATACAAGCCCTACGATGAATTCAACATGCAGTTTCTGTCAGCCTTCAACTTTCGCTCGCTTCGCCTGCCAGTGTGGATGCTGTGGATCATAGCATGGATGAACGACATGGTCCGCTGGGTCCTGAAGCCCATCTACAACTACACACCACTGCTCAACAAATACACACTGGCTGTGGCCTGCACATCCTTCACCGTCAGCACAGACAAGGCTTTTCGGCACTTTCAGTACCAGCCGCTCTACAGCTGGCAGCAGTGCCTGTCTCGTACGCAGAGCTGGGTCAACACTTTCCCATTTGAAACCAGCACTAAAGACAAATAGCAGGCTTGATGAGCATCTGTGCATATATATTAAAGAGTAGATTGCTTGAATGTCTTAGGGCAGTATTCATTTTGTGATCTTTAAATTAAGCACACGAACAAGAAGCATCTTAATCAGTTTACGATTGGTTTCGATGAATCCAGAAATCATTTCAGATGTGTTCTTACCCTCTGGAGGCATGATCTGTACATACAAGCACTTGTTGCACATCTAAGACTATTTTAATAGCGACCTAGCAATAAATACAAGCAGTTAGCTAAAGTCTATAAGCTGAATGTACTTTATCAGTTATAAAGTGTTATAATCCACCACGTTTACTACATTATACTTGTCTTTTATTTTTATTCTTATTCTTATTATTATTATTATTACACAATGTTCCAAGTTTATCATTTACAAACGATTGTTTTGATGACCACAAGCTTTTAACTTGTTAATTGTCTTAAATATTTAATTGTTCATGATGTGGATCATTTGTGTTTAACAAATGCAAAACAAATTAAACTATTATATATAAGCACTGTGCTGTTGTGCAGTATTATTACATAATGTATTACACTGTGTAAATCGTCACACCCCATCTTTAAAAATACAGAATTAATCACACTCATTCACACAGGATTTTACAGTATATTACATTGACTTTAAGGCTGCAACTTCTTTTAAAACAATCAAATTAATTACAAATCATTCTAACTTGGATTAATTTAAATTAAAGTCTTATGTAAATAAAACTTGTGAAACAAAAACATACGGTGCCACGACTGATCATTTAACCTGGATGATATACAGTCAGGTCCATAAATATTCAGCACAATATCAACACAGTTCTAACATTTTTGGCTATATACACCAACACAGTGAATTTGACATTAAACTAACAAGATGTGCTTCAACTGCGACTTTCAGCTTTGATTTGTGCATATTTACATCCAAATCAGGTGAACGCTGTAGGAATTACAACAGTTTGCATTTGTGCCTCTCATTTGTTAAGGGTCCAAAAGTAAGTAAGTAGGATGGAACAATAATCATAAATCAAAAGGTCACTTTTTAATACTTGGTTGCAAATCCTTTGCAGTCAATTAAAACCCTACGTCTGGAATGCATAGACATCACCAGAAGCTGGGTTTCATTCCTGGTGGTGCTCTGCCAGGCCTCTACAGCAACTGTCCTCAATTCCTGCTTGTTCTTGGGGCAGTTTTGTCTTCAGTTTTGTCTTCAGCAAGTGAAATGCACGCTTAATTGGATTTAGTTCAGGTGATTGGCTAGGCCATTGCATAACATTACACTTCTTTTCCTTCAAAAACTCTTTGGTTGCTTCTGCAGTATACTTTGGGTCATTCTCCATCTGCACTGTGAAGTGCTGTCCACTGTGTTCTAAAGAATTTGGCTTAATATGAGCAGATAATATTGCTTGAAACACTTCAGAATTCATCCTGCTGCTTTTGCAGTCACCTCATCAATAAATGCAAGAGAACCAGTTCTATTGATAGCCATACATGCCCACACCATGTCACTACTTCCACCCTACTTCACTGCTTAGGATCATGAACAGTTCCTTTCCTTCTCCATACTCCTTCTCTTCCACTCTGGTACAGGTTGATCTTGGTCTCATCTGTCCATAGGATGTTGTTTCAGCACTGTAAAGGCTTTTTAGAACTCTAATCTGGCCTTTCAGATTTTGAGGCTCACCAATAGTTTACATCTTGTGGTAAACCCTCTGTATTCACTCTGGTGTAGTCTTGTGTTGATTGTTGACTCTGACACACCAACCTCCTGGAGAGTGTTCTTGATCTGGCCAACTATTGTGATGGGTGTTTTCTTCACCAGGGACAGAATTTTTCAGTCGTCCACCACAGTTGTTTTGTGGTTTCTGGGTCTATTGGTGTTGCTGAGCTCACTACTGTGTTATTTCTTTTTAGGAATGTTCCAACAGTTGTTTTGGCTGTTTTGTTTTTTTTTTTCAGCCAAATGATGGCTCGCTTCACTGATGGTTCACAGTAACAGATTCCAAATGCAAATAGTACACTTGAAATAAACTCTGGACTTTTAATCTGCTTATTGCAATTGAAATAATAAGAAAATAACACACAACTGGCCATGGAACAGCTGAGAAGCCAACTGTCCTATTACTTTTGGTCCCTTAACAAGTGAGAGGCATATGCAAACTGTGGTAATGCCTACAGTGGTCACTTGATTTGGATGTAAATACCCTCATAGTGAAGCTGACAGTCCGCAGTTAAAGCACATCTCAGTGCTTTTTACATTGATTGTGTTGGTGTAAAGTTTAAAAAATAATGCTGGAATTGTGTGAATGTCCCAATATTTATAGACCTTACTGTACATTGCATAGTTTTTCTGTTCTCCTTTTAAGCTTGAGGAGAACAAACCTGTTGGCTGACAGAAAATTTTAAATAGCTACAATTGATCTCATGAATTCCAATACATATTCAAACAAGTTGTTTAATGTGTTAACATGAATTGTATTGTATTTTATTTGCTGTTATTGCAACGATTTATGTGTTCATGTATCTTGTAAAATGATTCATTCTTCTGATTAATTAAATACAAAAACAGTCTCCTTATGCAAATTTAGATTAGTTAATATAGTATTATGTAGAAAGCAATTTTAGTTTATAAAACAAAGTTACTATTTTCATGCTACTAGTACTTTTTAAATACTAGGATACAAGTATCTTTATATATATATATATATATTCAATATAAATTATATATATATATATATATATATATATATATATATATATATATATATATATATATATCAATTATGACAATTTATATTTTATAAATTTATAAATTTTCATGTTCATTCCTAAAACTAGTTCTTTGTATTAGAAAAAAATACCCGTTAGTCACTAATGATTAAGTACTAGTATCTACTACCTTTTTCCCCCTTCACTTTCGTCAATTGGTGAGTTTTTTTCCACGCCACTGTTGCCACTGGTTTGCGACTTGTAGAGCTGCCCATTGATGGATTTGCTCTTCAGTGTTTGGACTTTCAGCAGTGAAAATTAACCACACTGAACTAAGCTAAACTGAGCTTCATCTCTAAAAACTAGACTGACGCAGTTTCAGTTCAGTACTATTAAATTTTATAAAGGTACCTAAAAAGGATAGTTCACTCAAAACTGAAAACTCAGTGATCGTTTACTCACTCTTTATTTGTTCTGCTGAAGACAAAAGAAGATATTTTAAAATAAGCTGGAAACTAGTAACCATTGACTTCCATATTTGTTTTTTTCCTATGAGTCAATGGTTACCGGTTTCAGGCTTCAAAATATTTTCTTTTGTGTTCCACAGAATAAAGAAACTTATAAAGGTTGTGAATCCACGTGAGGGTGAGTAAATAGTGAGTAAATATATGTAAAAAATGAAAAGAGGTTTTAGTATGGGTTATAGAATGAATGCTAATTACATTATTAAAATAAATTACCTTAAAAAAAACACGTTGAAATATGATCTTCATAATTTTTTTAAAATCACTTTAATTTAGTACCTACATTTATTGTATACCTCGTTTTGTTTTGTTTTTGTAGAAGTGTTATTACACTGACGCACAACAACCACCCTCAGCCTTCAGGGGACTCGTATATTCCTCTGCCCGAACAAGAAACAGCATGAGTTCAACAACGTGTGCCTACATTTTCCACATCAGCCTCCATTGTTTTAGTGGCATAATAGCAAGCATTTTGCATGGAGAACTTGCATAGACATGAGAGTTCACTCCTGTTTACACGATAAAGAGTTTTTGAATTGTACAGGACCCAGAAATGATTAATTGATCATTTATTATCCACTTTATTCACTTTTTTTTCTTCAGTTGAAATCAAATATGAAATATGCTAATGAAGTGGTTAATAAATGATAGAGTATTCTTAACTGCGGGTCTTATACACTGATGACTGAAGTTTAATTGTTGGGTAAACTATCCCTTTAATGCTGTTTTATCTTAATTGGCGACAGAAAATGATTTGTTTGAGTGTGTCAGTCAGGAGTCATGCAGGTTTTGACAACATATTGGTGAGTAAGTGACAGTATCTTAGTTTTCCGATGAAATATAGCTTTGTGTCTGGTTAGAAACAGAAAAATAGAAACTGTAAAAGTAGAAAAAACATGAGGGTGTTCCCAACTGGCGTCTGTTCAAAGGCATTCCCTTAAAATGAGTTGCAGTATTACTTTGGGAGTCCCTCATATAACAGAGCTTCCATAGTGACCTTCACAATATTTATTCTTACTGTATGTGAATGATGAGTGGAAATTCTGTCTGAACAGCTGCATGCAACAGAACTTTTTTTCCTTTTCCCCGATTGCAAAGATAGTGAGCAGTTACAGATCCAAACTGTTGGTGAACTGCGCCATCTTGTGGGGCTGCGAGAAAGATGCGACATTAGGCAGGTGAAGTGATGACCATGTTTCATGTTTACCTCACAATGAAAATTTTGTCATTATCCTCCTAACTTTTTCCAAACTTTTATGGGTTTCCTTCTTCTGTTGAATACAAAGACGATATTTCGAAGAATGCTGGAAAGCAAAAGCATTGACTTCAACATGTTCTGCTCCTACTACGAATGTTAATGGCTGCTGGCTTTCTATTTTTGTGGTCAACTGAAGAAAGAATCTCAAACAGGCCTGAAACAAGTAGAGAGTGAATAAGTTGAAAGTTGATTTAAATTTTTGGGTGAACTATCCAATTAAGGGTTGTTCTAAACACTCCTGCTGCTACAGATAGTCTCTGAACAAGAAATAGCAGACATGTTTCTGGTTACTATATGGGCCCTATCATACACCCGGCGCAGTGTGGCGCAAGGCGCGGCGCAATAGTCTTTTGGTAGTTTCAGCTTGGCGCAAGAGTCGTTTTGAGGCGTTGCGCTACGCTGTTTAAATAGCAAATGCATCAGCGCCCATAGGCGCATGAGGCGGACTGCTGGCGAGTCGCTATTTTGAGAAACTATAATAGATTTTTCATTAGACCAAAACTAACCCGGTCTAAACTCCGGCGGCTCGCTTACGCACTACTTAATATGCAAAAGAGAGCAATAGGCAAATATCTTTACATATGTAAAAAATTAAATATTAAGGATATATATATATAGGATATAACAAGAATTGATATAGAATATAAATATAAAGAATTAAAATATTATAAAACATATTATTTTCTAGCCTACATAAATATGAAAAACCACTGCTTTTATGTCATCTTCATCTCGGGAGGCTTTTTCAGTTCATTCATAACAATTTGCTTTTGTATAATGTTATTATTATTAGCAGTGTTATTTATTATATCCATATTTATATTTGTTTTATTAAAAACAAGCTTAGATTTTCCCACCTGTCAGGTTTTAGACCATATGGGGCACAGCATGTGTTTTAGGATATAACTCAGGTTTTTGAGCACATTTTGTTATTATTATTCATTTATTCGTTTGCTGGAAATTAGAACTGATTTAGAAATAGTTTTGAAACAAATATTTGCGCTTAACAAACAAAAGTATT